AAAGAAAGGAAGAAATTGCAATCTATGTGAAGAGGAGAAACTGAAAACTATAGAATACAACAATGGGAATAGATCTTACATACCCAAAATAAATGAAATTATTTCAAATTGTCACCATTATATTACTTTTAAAAATCATGAAGAAAAAAAAGAGACAGATCATGGGAGAGTCCAAAATAAACAAACGTTCATTTTGAAAAATGACTATACAAGAAATGGGCTGTAAATAGGGAATTAAATAAAATATAACGCAGTGTTAATAAATTTCCTATTTTATCACATCTTCTTCACTTTTGTTTTAGACACTTATATTCTACCAACAAAGGAGGTACGGTGGATAGCGGCTCAGATTGAGAAATTACATTCACTTACGTGCTAATAACCTTGGGAAATGTATACATCCTCTTCTCGCCCCCACCCAGCTATAGGTAAATAGCAGGACAGACAGCCTTGGATGGCAACAGAAGCAATTACTCGTCAGTCATGTATCGGCTAACTGACTGACTGACCAACACACACACACACACACACACGCACACACACACACACACACACACACACACACACACACACACACACACACACACAACCTCCTGATGAGTAAACCGAACGATTACAAAAAGATCCATCTACGAAACACTGAAGTCGGGGTGATGAATATAACATCAGTCAGCTCAGTGAAAAATTAATCTTACGTTTCGCTCAATGTGCATTTAATTTTCAGTGAATCTCAAGATTAGGAGGATGACAAAACTCAAAGTCAGTCACTAATGATCTAATGAGCCTAGGTTTCAATTCCAGGTTTATATCAATTGTTCAAAAATAGTCTCTCCATAATCTCAAAAAAAAAAAAAAAAATCAAATCCTTAGTTTGCTGCTAGGAAAGTTATTTCACTGTGTTGTGCAAGACAATTTGTTTCTATCCAGAATCTGTCTTACATATTTATAAGTCCATACATATTCATCTATGTTTTGAATATTGCTGCCACATCTGGCCTGGTGCTCCTGTTATATATTGGGAGATTCTTGATAAAATACAAAGAAGGATCTGCAATGTTATTGGTTCTGACCTGGCATTCCAGTTTCAGTCACTTTCCCGCCACTATAATGTATCTTCCCTGTGCCTTTTTCTATAAATACTTTCATGGTAATTGCTCACATGAACTTTCCTCTATGACACATAGACATTATGAATTTAAGTGTAGTACTAGATTCGCGGCAAAGTCACATCCTTTTACAGATGAAATGGTTAGATGTAATTGTAGGTTCTTTGCTAACAGTTTCATCTATCACACTTCTCACCTGTGGAACTCTCTTCCAGCATCTTGTTTTCCAGCCAACTTTAATCTTCAAAAAATTAAAGGCAATGTCAATTGCTATCTCCTGTCTTTTTGAGTCCTCTTTTCATTGTTCTCGTTCCTTAAATAATGTTTTTTTCTTTTGCACCCGGTAACACCTTGTGTATTAGCGGCTTTATTGCCTTACTTAGGATGAAATGTTTAAAAAGATTTTTTAAACTTACTGTAATCTTTAAATGATCATTAGTCTTTTCTCGGGCAATGCCAGGTATCCCTGTTTGTTATTTTACATTTAGATATAACCTCACGAGTCAATGTTTTTTAGATGAAGCATTGACTGAAGCCTTTCCCAAGGATATCGCTTACTTGTTTGACTTCATTTCATTTTAAATTTGAAAGGAAGGTCACAACTGAGCATTGAATGAGACGGAATTAATTTCTTCTGTTGACATTGGCAGCTTTGTAAATCTCTCAGCAGAAGGACTGGTCAGATTTTCACATTTTAAAAAGTTGCAATTTTCTCTCAACAATTTTCAATCGATTCTTACTTCTAATAAAAATTTATTGACTTCATTTCTAACCGGGGGGAACTTTTTACTCAGTTGTTTGTTCACAATATGAAAGATTCGTCACTAGAAGAATGTTTAAAAGATATTTGTGGCGGACTTCACCACTCTCACGTGATTAAGTTGATTATAAATACCAGACACGAATTCGTTCTTCCTCTTCCTTGATTTCTCTCGATACTAAAATGTAATTGTAAAAAGATCGCGTCTCGACCGTTTGCGGGCGGACGCTATGAAAACATATTTACACACGCACACATACACGTACGTACGAAACTTTCCATACTACATTACAAAGATACGAAACTTTTCAAACTTCATCACGAACATTACAAACTTAATGACAGGCAACGGTAACTTAATTACAAACATTACGGAACATTCACTCCTTCAACCCTTCTGATGCTAAAAGTTGACTCAACATATTCTCAGCTTTACAGATTTCTTTCAACTCTCACAATGAACATTTTGAGCGGCAAGTTCATTCAACTGTTATGAGCTTGTGGCGGACTTCACCACATTAATTTAACTTTAGATTAGGAAACAGGGCTGACGCAGAAAAGGATACGCCAAAGACATTTTTACACATAAAATATGTATTTAACAAGATGTACAATATCAAACAACGATGTGAAAGAAAGCATACATTTAAGGAAGAAAAGTTTGAATTAACCAAGAGTTGTCTCTCTTTATCTGTTATTTTACTGTTCCAAAGTTCACTGGAAGAATGTTCATGAGAGTCTCTTGTAATGATTGTTCTTGAAAGATATTGCTGTGTAAGAAGAGTTTTTTGAGTGTATACAAGGTATGTTCAGCATGTGAGTGATTTGTGTGAGTGAGAAAGTTAGCGCATGGTTTTAACTGTCGTGGATTCGTTTGGCAGTTGGATTTCTCACTAAATAGGATTAGAAAACTCTTGCTTAAATAAGTGACCGTAGGCTCCAAATCGCTGCGCAGGAAGAATTATTCTTCACGTGCATACAGTTTGATTGGTTGGCATCGACCAATCAGCAAGCGAGCTTTGGGGAGACTTAAGAAAGCTTCTGGGATCCGTTTCTCCCAAAAGTACACAAAATTGACTACTTAAAAATAGAGCGATTACAAAATTGTCGCATTACTGCGATTTGTAAATTGCCTATAATAACGTAGTGGTGATTAATTAACCAATGAATGCTTGGCGTTGTATGTGATTTGTATTTTTGTATGTATGTCTGTTCGTGCGTAATAGATCCGCACATATTCATAAAACGATTTGTAATCATAAGCAGACAATTTCAAAAAATGTTACTGTCAGAGTGAATAACTTAGTGAAATAATGAATTAATATTCATAAAGATTCAAATAAAATTATAATTGTCTGCTTAGAGTGTTTCAGGATATTGTCTGATTTGATTTGAACAGTGGATCAAGTCAGTGATTTTTTTTCATCTAAACATAATGGCTCAAGTTATTTTATGATTTGATGGGAAAAGTGGATCAGGTCAAAACATGAATATCTAAACCAGCGGTCGCCAACCTTTTGAACTTTATGAACAATTAAATGTATAATTGTAAATTAGGCGGAACACTAATATGAATTTAGAAAAAAAAAAAGTAAACACATTTACATAATTGTTGTGGTACGATCCACCTAATTTACATAGTGGAGTACCGACCATATAAATATGGTTGGTACCGGGAAGACGGGTGAGAATCAAGAGATCTAATCCAGAGACTCTGCCCGACTGCGACTAAGTCAACCCATTCTACAGGAACGGTCTTCCCAAGAATATACCAAACTATCTGTAAATATTGTGTACACGTTCTTGTGTCAATACATTTTGTTTAAGTACATTTTGTGTTGTATTATTATTATTCCATACATTAGTCAAGTTTCAACAATAATAATAATCGGAAAAAATTTATTTTATTAATATGAAAAAAAAAACCATTAAAGCTAACGAAGTTATAATGTAATTATTTAAATAAAACAAATGAAAAATTTGAAGTTTCATAAAAATGGAAATAATGTCCCAATTTTTCTGCGGAATATGAACAATTTTGCACGGACCACCATTGGTACGTGAACCACCATTGGTCCGTGGACCACCATTGGTACGTGGACCACTATTGGTCCGTGCACCACCAGTTGGTGACCATTGATCTAAACAGAGGATAAGATCAATACTTGATTTAATCAGAAGATTTCAACAGTGTATTGGGTGATCATTTAGAACAGCTGATCAGGGTATGAGGATTTTTAAATGTTCAGTGACTCAAATCAGGCGATTTTTCATCTGAACCGTAGATCAGGTCATGGCATATTTTGATTTGAAAAGTTGATCAGGTCATGGGGTGTTTTAATCTGAATAGTGGATCAGCTCTTAGTATGACTTAATTTGAACAGTGAATAATGTCGTGAGTTCATTTAATCTTAATATTTGATCGGGTCATGATATGATTAAAAATTAACTCTGGATCAAAAGTAGAAATTCTCTTGATCCACTGTTTAAGTCCAATCATCCTTTGAAATATTTCATCTTCAACATTTCAAAATATAAAGCGTATCATAATTATATGAATTTCTAAATTATGATCATTCCATAAATTGATTTCAATCTTTTACAGAAACTGATAAAAGCCTATATTGCTTGCAATGTGCTATATTTTTTTCGGAACGAGTTACACCTACAGCCGCCTAAGAACTCAAAAGGCTAAAATAATCCTCCTAAGCTAAATCTAATGAACTTGATTTGCAATTTAGAACAAAATAATATAAATAAATAGATGAAATCTATAAATACGTAAAACAATAAATATAAAATAAGAAATCAATGAATAAAAAGCAAACTAAACGCCATGACTATTAATCACCTAAATCATTAATCCTCAACAAAAAATGGGAAGTAACAGGCTCCTTCTTCTGCCACTTCTGTTAATCCCTCAGTAACCTATATATAGAGCCCATGAAAGGAATAGTGTCTGATAATCATTTGAGGCATGAAACTGACAAAAATAAAGATAATCTTCTTTGTGAATTCAAAGATAATTATTAATCACGTAGATCAAGCATTGTAAAGTAAAAATTTCAAATCAAAATCCATCGAATATTTCCATATCAGGCTGTTGAAAAATTGATGTATATTCATTCACACACATGCAAACATAGATAGATAGATAGATAGATAGATAGATAGATAGATAGATAGATAGGGAAGAGACTGAAATAGATAGATAGATAGATAGATAGATAGATAGGGAAGAGACTGAAATAGATAGATAGATAGATAGATAGATAGATAGATAGATAGATAGATAGATAGATAGATAGATAGGGAAGAGACTGAGATAGATAGATAGATAGATAGATAGATAGATAGATAGATAGATAGACTTCCAATAACAAAATGGAGAGTACATGTAACAAGAACAAAAAAATGAAGCTGTTAGCACTCCACACTTCCAAAACCAAAAGGTTTGAAAGAAATCTCCATCAAAGCTAGAAAGAGCGATAATAGTTACTTTACTTGAGAAGTTTAATTTCATGCAAAACTGTTTGAAGAAAGATTTTATCACTTTTGACCAACAGTATCACTGACCATTCAATCAATAAATGCCAAACGTTTGTAAACAGTTCGTTTCAGCATTACTATTTCACCAAGCAGCAGTACTGAAATTGAATACATGTAAAACTTACAATGTGTAATTTTATGATCTAAAATTAATATTACAACAGTCTCTAGTGACTTTGTTGAAAGATAGGTATCTAAGTAAACAGAAAGACCATAAAAGACAGAACGAAAAGTTCAGGTGTGGCAAAGGACATTGTTGTTTTCCAATCTTGTTAACTGTATTTGTAGTCAAGGTGTAACGCCTTTGTTTACGCACACCTGTAATTCATTGCCTCAAAGAATCGTGAATTTTAATCTGAAAACCAAACCCCAAGAGCAAAGGACAAGTGGGTTTCTCGGCCTCCAGACCGGGATTAAGTAAACAGTTTTGTACTGAGGTTAATACGGGGCTTTGATAAAAGAAAAAGTGAGATGGACAGAGAAAAAAGGGAGAAGAAATAGAGGGGGGCAGAAAGAAAGAAAGAAAGAAAGAAAGAAAGAAAGAAAGAAAGAAAGAAAAAGTAAGAAAGAAAGAAAAAGTAAGAAAGAAAGAAAGAAAGAAAAAGAGAGAAAGATACAGAAAGCTGAAGAAAGAAAGAGAGCATGAAAGAAAGAAGGAATGAAAGAAAGAGAGAGAGAGAAAAAAAGAAAGACAAAAACTGGAGAGAAAATGAGAATATGATAAAGTAGAAAAATATAAAAAGAAAGAAAGAAAAAGAAAGAAAGAAAAAGAAAGAAAAAAGAGTGAGAAAGAAAGCTGGATAAAGAAAAAAAAGAAAGAAAGAAAGAAAGAAAGAAAGAAAGAAAGAAAGAAAGAACGCCTAAAAAGAAAGAGAGAAAGAAAGAAAGAGAGAAAAAAAGAAAACTGAGAAAGAAAGCTGAAGAAAGAAAGAAAGAAAGAAAGAAAGAAAGAAAGAAAGAAAGTAGGAAAAAAGAGAGAGAGAAAGAAAAAAGAATGAGAAAGAAAACGGAAGAAAGAAAGGGCGGTAAAGAAAGAAGAAAGCATAAGAAAAAAGCTGAAGAAAGAAAGGAAGAAAGAAAGAAGTGTAAGAAAGAAAAAAGTTTCTACAGAACGATGCTGCGGATACCACAGGCCTAAAATGTGAGCAACAACGAAGTTATAGAAAGCGCGACACTGAAATTCGAAGGCGCAATGGGATAGCGAAAGGTGCCTTCCAAAAGCTAAGTAAAGTATTAAGAAACAGGAAAATTTCGTTAGAAGCAAAAAAAAGAAAAAAAAAGAAAAGAGTACTGAACTGTTGCGTAATACCAGTCCTCTTATATGGCAGTGGATGCTGGATAATCTCCTCAAAGATGAAGAAGAGACTTGAAGCAACCGAAATTTGGTTCTACAGAACGATGCTGCGAATACCACGAAGTTATAGAGAAAATAGAAACAAAAATGACACATACTTAACATGAGAAACAGACAGTTGACATATCTAGGGAGCATAATGAGAAAAGAAAGCTTGGAAAATTTTATATTTACAGGAGAGATTTAAGGCAAAAAACTTAGAGAAAATTCTCAATGTAAAAGTTGAATAAGTCTAGTGAGGCGATGCATTCTTGTCGTACAACCCTTTCTATTTTTTGGCTCTAATGAATTCATTTTCTATCTGTCCTAACACTAATTCCTGGTCAAGATAATAATAAAAAAAATGTCTTTCCCATCCGCAATCAATATCTTCCTCTCTGAACTTAAATTGGAATAAAGTCAACCACTGAAGTCTCTGGCGTCTCAGAAGGTAAACACCGAAAGAGCAATGTTCATTTTCACTTCCATATACGCAGGGTGGGGCAAATATTAAACCGGTCCGGTGTTAAATTTTACCAACGAGAGGAAGCAAATAAAAAACGACTATTTTAAACAGGCATGCTAATATGGCGCCGGGATAAGCTTACACTTTGTTTTCCAGGAGGGATCATCTCGCTTGCAATTGGTGGTATCAAATGTCACTAAGCTCATCGAATATTTATAAAATACTTATATCTTAAAATGCCGGAAAGAGGAGATATGGAACAACCAACTGAATAATGAAGTGAAAACGAAAAGAAACAAAACTTCTAACGAGTCGGTGTTATTGGAATCGACTGTTGATGAACAAAACTGTAGATGGAGATGGAAGAGTTTTTCAATTCAAACATATCATTTTCATTAAATATATCTATCTATTTATGCGTAAGTAAACACCCAACTACACACACACACACGCACACACAAACATATTTTTAAGCATTTCAATCCAATCAAGGGGAGAGTGTCATTAGCGCGCAAAGGGTTACAGAAAGTGAGAGCAAGGGTAAAGAGGGGTGTTTGAGGAAAGGATAAAGAGAAGGGCGGCGATCAAAATCAAGCCATTAGAAGATATCGATTGACATTACATTTGAATATTTAAAGTTTATTGTTATCAGGGACCAAGTAAGAGAAAAGGAGTTTTAATGTCGAAAAGTGCAAGAGAAAAAGCTGTTGGAGTAGAAAAGAAGGTTACATTTAACTGTTTCGACAGTGAAAGGGTGGGACGGAGATGCCAACCTAGTAGCACGCTTAAATTCATGCAGTTGGGGTAACCAGTGAGAATAGCTTGTCAGAGCAGTTGCCGTGAAAACATTTGGTGATAAGACGGAGGGAAGCCGCATCAGGTCTTTGAGAACGTGCCTGGAGTCGAGATGCCAGATCAGAACCTATAATATTGCATATCCGTCTTTTGATTTTGTCGAACCCTCTCGAAATGAACAGCGGGGACACCAGGCCATATATGGCAACAGTATTCAGTGCAAGGACGAATGGTAGATTTGTAGATTTGAATTATGGACACAGACGAGAAAATCCTTCTGGCAAATATATATATATATATATATATATATATATATATATATATATATATATAAGAAAAATATATACGGAAAAAACAAACAAAAATCCTTATATGCAATTATGCTGTTTTAATGTTAATATGTCAACGTCGGACGTTTCGGTCTAATAAACCATCTTCAGGGCTTATTCATAAAATATAATTAACATTATTAATTCAACGTATTCGTAAAATTTCTAAAATCTGAGTATTTTGAATGAAAATGAAAAGAATTCTATTTTGATCTAAAATTTATATGTACACTTGTTCTTATGTCCATCGTCTTTGTCATGTTGAATTGATAATGTTAATTATATTTTATGAATGTCCTGAAGATGGTTTATTAGACCGAAACGTCCGACGTTGACATATTAACATCAAAACAGCATAATTGCATATAAAGATTTTTGTTTGTGTTTTCCGTATATATTTTTCTTCATACTGTCGGATCTATATCCATATATTTGCTTATATATATATATATATATATATATATATATATATATATATATATATATATATATATATATATAGAGAGAGAGAGAGAGAGAGAGAGAGAGAGATCAAGTATGGATAAGAATCCGACAAAATGATAGTATAAAGAAACGAAAAATTCAAGCAACGAACTTTATGTCAACAAAGCGGAAGCGAAATTCACAGCATATAAAAAGCAACATGACGGTAAGCCAGCAAAGATAACAGGTTTAGGTTTGCTTCTGTTAAGCCTGGCATTTTCATGGCTTATTTTACGTACTTCTCTTCGATCGACGGGATTAAAAACTTATCCGGTTTTAATAAGGATGTAATGCGTCTAACCTCGAAGACCTTGTGTTTTTTTAGACTCTGAAAATGGCGAAAAATTTCAGAAAGAATCCATTACTCCACTTTGCCTGCTATATTTGTGTATGCATATATGGATGTGTCTGTGTGTGGTTGTAAAATTGGATGCAGAATTCAAAGTTTGAAGAATATTTCAAATTTAAAACCGTTTCATTGAAACTAGATCATTCGCCCTTCAACAAATCCAAAGCGGAATATCTATCTATAAAAGGCAGGATGCGTGTGTTTGTAACGAATGCACGGCCGCAATTTTCGACGGATTTGCACCAAAATTTACCAAACATGCACATGCTCCAAGTTAGCGGGAACACCAAGACCGACTTTGCATTTCCCAACTCCCATCGATAGTGGAAATAATCGATTTTTTTATGCTTCTACGACACTTTTCATGTAGTTTGCGGCCATTTTGTACTAGCCACGGTGAGATCCTGTAGCTGGCTGCCACGAATAGGCAGGAAGATTCTATTGGCCAGCGTGAAAGCCAACAGCTGACTGACACGAATGTTAATTAGCATGCTAGCATGCAAAAAAAAATCGATAGCTGCATTCGGAAAAATTTAAATCTGCATGGCACTTTACTTCAATTGGCTCATTCTCTTGACTAAACTCAACGTTGATTCTGATTCCGCAGAACTGGGTTGGATGTGAAAAAGTATTTGTTGTTAACATTCTTTTTTCATTCGGTTTTTCCAGTTACGAGTTCTTTTTTAAAGCTGATCATTTTGTGTTTATTTTGTTTAGTTCTTTTTTCGTAACGGATTTAATGTTTAGTATAGAGGTTAGAAAAAATTCTCAGTGTGAGATAGGCAAGAAGTAAGGCATGTAGCAACATCAGCACGGCAAAGGGCATTCCTTTAACGCCAAGGAAGGGCAAAAAATATTTTAAGTCAAGTGATAGCGATTGCTGTATGAGTCGTACGATTTTTTAATCAAGCAATATATATAGTTGTATATTTAGGCAGCAATCCTTCGTTTATGCATGTTTTATTAAAAACGACAGGCAAGGTACTACGGTTAAGCTTTTTATTTAATTTTTCTTGTGTTTGAGCAAGAGCTTTTTTTTCTGGACAAAGGGTGTGTAAGAACTGTCCAAATGTTTTATATTTCCGAGCGCTTTCGGCTATACCTTTAGCCATTATCAAGGATGATTCAATTTTTCAACTTAATTGAGTGTGTGCATTATGTGTATGTTTTAGTGTGTTTAGAGATGTTTTTAATTTCCGAATACGGTTAGCACATTGTGGCCGTGTTCGTAGTTAATATTGTTAAGAGTTGGCTTTTTCTTTTTTATTATTAAAGCTTCCATTATTTTTAAGCTTTTTTTACAGGTGGATGAAGTTATTATATTTGTCTTTTCTACTAGTATGTTTCGAATGGAGTCTGGTAAATTTGTGTGTGTGTTTAAATGGGTTCTAATGGAGCTATGATCAGATAGATGTAATGTAAGGCATCTGGATAAGCATGTAGTTGTCCAGAAAAGAAAGCTCTTGTTCGAACACAAGAAAAATTAAATAAAAAGCTTAACCGTAGTACGTTCTCTGTTGTTTTTAATAAAACATTAATATATATATATATATATATATATATATATATATATATATATATATTATTTATTTAAAAAAATATGATTCCAAATCGCTACATAAGAGGTCTCATGTTTCAAAACAAGAGCCGAAAACTTCAATATAATCCTTTAAATTAAATTGAGTTGAAATTAAAATGGGCTCCGTTCCATCTTCAAGCGAAATTTTTGTTGGAATAACGTATATCTGAAATTTACTTGTTTTAAAAATTGAAATCAAAATCCCCATGGTAACAGCTAGGGCGAATTGTCTAAATTGGGTAGGCGAGTGTAGGGTGTTAATAATAAGTAGCGGTATAGAGATACTTTCAAGGTGTCAAGTCGGGGAAAGGTGGGGGTGTCAAAAATGAAACGGAAGATGTATTAAGCCTTCGTCAAGTTTGCTTGTCTATGGATATTTATTTATTTTATTTTATTTTATTTTATTATGAAAGGGAATTGTGCATATAAAAAGAAAAACTTTCGTAACGTTTGTTTTTTGACGACTTCATAAAGGGTTATCTTTTATGTAAGGTATTTAAACTACTAATTTGGGCTATGGATTATGAAGGGTGTTATGTTGTATGCATGTTTGTAGTTAATAATTCCTACTATGAATCTGATGATTGGGCTATTTGTTAAACAAGTTATATAAATTTTTTTTTTTTTTTTTAATAATTCAAACCAAAAATCTGATGATGCCTACAAAAAACCGTTAACTCGTGTCTATTATTTAATAGATTATTATTATTTAGAAGTTTAATAATGTGCAATTTTTCATGGAGGCACAAAGGGCATGGGTCATCCCAAGCTTTACATATTCTAGCCTTGTCAATAATTTACCTAATAATTATTTACCTAACCAGTTCCTTCCTATTTTCTATATATTTTCACACACACACACACACACACACACACACACACACACACACATATATATATATATATATATAAGTGTACATACGTTTTGGTGTGTGACTAAAGTTTTGTTGGATTACCAGCTCATCGGGCACAACATCTATGTTGTTAAAAGTAAACAAATGGCTCATGGGAGCAAAAATAAAATTTCACAGAAGTGTGTTAAATGCGATGCTGATGAGTTACACGTATATGTATAAATTAATATATATATTTGTTCTGTCTAACCACATCGAGCACTATTATGTGTACACTTCATGTATAAATTTGTCGATTATTTATTTTCTTGCTCACGCATGCACACCAGCACGCGCGCATATACCCTTGATTATATCTAGCCGTTTGATTTATCTATCTTATAACTACACACACACACACACACACACACACACACACACACACACACACATATATATATATATATATATATATATATATATATATATATATAAATTAATCATATACTACACTAAATCTATTATATCCAACTTAATTCTTCGCAATGATTCTTCTCCCCGGTTAGCGATTTGCAAAAAAAACACATAGTTTATAAATTCAAGTGCCCTTTGGGAGAGTGTATCTCCAACGAATTAAATAATATTTATGTTGGTC